ATGTCTCTTCAGTCTACTATGATCACTGAATGACATTTTACATACATCACAGCAAAACGGCTTCTCCCCAGTATGTATGCGCTGATGTGTCTTCAGAATATTCTGCTGACTGAATGACTTACTACACACACCACAGCAAAACGGCCGCTCCCCAGTATGTATGCGCAGATGATGCTCCTTCAGATGCTTCTGCTGACTGAACGACTTTTTACATACATCACAACAAAATGGCTTTTCCCCACTATGTATGCACTGATGCTTCTTCAGATGGTTCTGCTGACTGAATGACTTTTTACATACATCACAGCAAAACGGCTTCTCCCCAGTATGTATGCGCTGATGTCTCTGCAGATTATTCTGCCGACTGAATGACTTACTACACACACCACAGCAAAACGGCCGCTCCCCAGTATGTATGCGCAGATGATGCTCCTTCAGATGGTTCTGCTGACTGAACGACTTTTTACATACATCACAACAAAATGGCTTTTCCCCACTATGTATGCGTTGATGTGTCTTCAGAGTACTCTGGTCACCGAATGACTTTTTACACACACCACAGCAAAACGGCTTTTCCCCACTATGTATGCGCTGATGCTTCTTCAGATGGTTCTGCCGACTGAATGACTTTTTACATACATCACAACAAAACAGCTTCTTCCCAGTATGTATGCGCTGATGCTTCTTCAGATGGTTCTGCTGACCGAATGACTTACTACACACACCAGAGCAAAACAGCCACTCCCCAGTATGTATGCGCTGATGTGCTCTCAGAATTACCTGCTGACTGAATGATTCACCACACTCATCACAGAAATATTGTCGATCCTCACCATATATGGGTTGAAGTTCATTCAAATTACCCTGGAAAATGAGAGTAAATAACATGAAAAATCCTTTTTTTTTTAACTGTTTCATTCTGGTTCATCACGCTAACAATATTACAAAAGATAAAACAACTCAATCCAGTGTGACTGTTGAAGTTTTTACTACTTCAATTCTTAACACCCTTACATATTTTGGTCATTACTGACCATTATCAGAGGGACACTGATACTGCTTGGAAACCACTATCACAACGGGTGTTCTGAATGTTAAAATATATACACATACAATGTTTGTAATGCACAATAGATACAAAATCCAAAGTTTTCATAACTACAGCGGTTGTCTTGGTATATTAAAATTTTTAAAACTTTTGTTAATTAAGTTAGAATTCGACTTCTTTGTTACAACCGTCACAACACAGCTAATATCAAGATCAGTGCCTAGTTTCAGCTCTGCTACATATTTCGGCCATTAATAGCCTTCATCAAGCAAATACATGGTTAACATATATACACCACTGAACTGCAGTACTAATAAAATTGGATACAATATATTAATTATATAAAATACTTAACATAAAAATACAATAAAACAGAAGTTATAGTATAAAACAAGAATAAAATTCTTTGATTGAAGTTTTACATCAAGTCAGTCTTTGGTTTTGTAATTTTGTTGCGTTCCCACAGACAAATCAGAAATTCTATATTTTGTGTATATAAAATTGTATAGGTTCAGTGTTTCTCAGTCCATGGCTTGGAGGACTCTTCATGAGAACGGGCTGCATCTTTATCATTTACAGAAAGGACAACACCTACAACTAGGAGACCATGCTCTTCGTCTGCAGTTCTGCAACTGGTTAAATGGAAATCGACAGTTGTACCGCTGATAACGTTCTGCAATGAGGCACAGTTTACATGGGACTGGGTCAACAACAGTCACAACTTACATGTTTGGGCAGACAATAATCCCCATGCCAAAATAGAATCGAATTTTCAACACCAATTCAGTGTCAATGTCTGGTGTGGTGTTCTGTATGATCAGCTGATCGGGCCGTTCATTTTTCCTGGCTGCTTCACTGGTGAGATTTACCTCCACTTCTTAGAATAATTACCAGTTACTTGAAGATGTTCCTCTGGCAACAAGACGCCGGATGTACTTTCAGCATGATAGGGTGCCTCCTTACTTCTCCTGCGCAGTAGCAGCTCACTTGGATCGGCATTTCCCACAGCGCTGGACTGGTCACGGAGGCCATAATACCTGGCCTCCCAGGACGCCAGATCTAATGCTGTTAGATTATTGCATTTGGGGCTGGATGAAGGACATTGTGTACCAGGTAAAGGTACAAACATGTGAAGCGTTGCTTGAACGTATTCTGGGCGCAGGGATGACAATAATGTACAAACGTGTGGAACTGCAAAATGCTACGAGCTTGGTTCATATGCGTGCGACGCATTGTGTTGACATGCAGGGAGACATTTTTGAAAATCTTATGTAAATTCAGTCGTCTTCTAAAGAACTACAGTTTAAAGGAAACAGATTGATAGAAGGGTATGATATGCAACCACTGGTATGTTTACAGAATGGGATGCTGAAAATAATGTAATTTTGTAACATAAAATAGATGAAAAATGTTGCAAAATGCAAAATTAAGAAATTGAAAAAAAAATTGGTTTTAGAATGCTTCTTTCCTAAAACATTAACGATTTAAAAAGTGTTTGTACTATATTTCTAATTTGTTTGACTTAAATTCAAAGAAAAAAAGATTTTTCGCCAGTTTTCAAATTACTGTATCTCTTTAATTATGAGTTGGATACCATTAGTATATTAACATTTTTTGTTCCAAATTACCTCAGGAATGCCCTCCCTATGTGGGGGTAAGACTTCGTGAATCACCCTGTATATAACATCTTTCTGATGTGTGGAGTTTGGGTCCTTCTTTTATATATAATACTTTCATGGTCTGCTCCATTGTGCCAAATGTACATCCAGCTTCCAGCTTCCAAAATGTACTGTGTGAATATAAATATAAATCCTATCAGGACTAATAAACAACATTCTAAGTTCATTTTTGCAGTTGGTTTCTGCAGTGTATCACTGAAGATGAGATTGATCCACAATTGACATTCTTTTCTGCTAAAGCATGGCTTCACTTGCAGGGATACATAAATATGACAAATAATCACTACTGGAGTTTGCCAAAACCGCATCTAACACAGGAAGTATGGCTAGATCCAGTGAAAACTGGAGTCTGGCGTGCTGTAACGGCAACAAGGAATTCTCTACCTGCATTTTT